GCCGAGCCAGCCAGGCCCCCCTTCCCTCGAATGCGGACGTTTCTGAGTGTCGTGTCGTCCCCCCCTGCCCGGGGCGAGTCCACCCTGACGCAGGTCCCTGAGCTCTGCTGCACGTGCGTGCTCGAATCCCGCACCTGAATCCCTCCACGGGCAGGGGTCTGCCTGCTGTGGTCGTTGGCATGTGGTGAGCACTCTCCTTGAAGTGGAGCTGGGAGGGCAGAGTGCTCTGAGAGAATCGCTCTCAGATTCTAGAATCACACAGATGTCAACGTGTGCCTTGACTCTTCCACTTATTGGCACCTGACCTGGGGCAGGTTCGCTAACCTTCGTCTGTGCGATGGGGCAGTGGCAGAACGAAAGGGAGAGACCTGAGTGTGAGGAATAGTGCCTGACCCGGGATGACTGCTGCATGGAATGCACAAATTTAAAAATTATTTTTTAACTAGGTGAAACTTGCTCTTGCCACGTAATCAAAAGATACAAAACGGTGTGCAGTGAAATGTCCCCTGTTCATCCTTGTCCTCCACATAACCCCTCTCCAGGGCAGCTGCTGTCACTGGGGGTCTCTGTCTTTTTTTTTTTTGTTAATTTTTTTTTTTTTTTTTTTTTTTTTTTTTTCTTCAACGTTTTTATTTATTTATGGGACAGAGAGAGACAGAGCATGAACGGGGGAGGGGCAGAGAGAGAGGGAGACACAGAATCGGAAACAGGCTCCAGGTTCTGAGCCATCAGCCCAGAGCCTGACGCGGGGCTCGAACTCACGGACCGCAAGATCGTGACCTGGCTGAAGTCGGACGCTTAACCGACTGCGCCACCCAGGCGCCCCTCTCTGTCTTTTAAACAAGTACAGGCATGTTATTATATAGTATGTATCGTATTGTTTTTCAGTATGTTGGGGGGCATACTGGGTGTGTGTGTGTGTGTGTGTGTGTGTGTGTATAAAATCTATATATAATCTTTCTTGCAGTTTACTTTTTTCCACCTGATATTTTAGAAAATATCTAGAGATTGTTCCATTTTATGGATAAATAATTATGTAGCTTATTTGCAATCTTGCAAATACAGGTGATAATAAATACAAATTTATTTAATACCCCTTCAAATACTTTAGTGTGTGTGTCCTAAGGTCAAGGATGCTGTCTTCTAGAACCAGAGTATAGGCATCAACATCAGGGTAGTGAAATTGATCCAGTCCACAGATCTTGTTCAAATTTCAGTATTTGTATCACTAATGTGCTTCATATCAAAAGAAAAAAACAATGGGATAAATATTGCTGATTATCCTTCTAGGGCTTTCTGACAGTTTATACCCCCATCCACAGTGCATTGGGGTATCTGTCCATTTCCTCACAGCCTTTTGAAGGGATTGTTATCAAAATTTGGGGACCATTTTTACTCATCTGATAGGTTAAAATGGTTTCTGATTGTAGCTTTAATTTCATTTCTCTAATAAGGAGTAAAAAGGTTGAGCAACTTTTCATGTTGAAGAGCCACCTACATTTTTTCATTAGCCTGACTTGATTTTTATTTGCCATGATACATTAAGGATGATAGTATTTTGAGAGCATATATTCTTTTCTAATTTGTCGTTTTGAATTAAAAGGGAGAAATATTTTCTATACCCAAATTGGTCAGTGTTTCACAGATTTTGGACTTCTACAATACTTAGACTTCAACGTGGACATTATGGGAAATAACCTCTTTTATCCAACGCTTTCATACTTTCAATTTTTTTTAATGTTTATTTTTGAGAGAGAGAGAGCGAGCGAGCACGGGGGAGGGGCAGAGAGAGAGGGAGAGACACAGAATCCGAAGCAGGCTCCAGGCTCTGAGCTGTCAGCACAGAGCCCATTGCGGGGCTTGAACCCATGAACCGTGAGATCATGAGCTGAGCCGAAGTTGGACGCCCAACCGACTGAGCCACCCAGGTGCCCCTCATATTTCATATTTTAAGCTGCATCTCTGACTCAATTTAATTTTTTGTTTTTAGATGGGCACCGCGCTGTCCAAACACCATTTATGGACTAAGTCCTGTTTTCTCCACTGAAACACTGTGATACCGTTCTGTTCGTTACCCTTCCAGACCTGTATGGGTCTTTTCTGGACTGTGTTCTGTGCACGAATCTGTCGTCTTGTTCATGTCTACTACTGGTACGCTTTCTTGCCTATGGGCCTAGTCCTTTCCTGCTACGCTTGACGGTGTGTTTTGAACGATTTTCCCATACTTATTTTTTCATGTGTACTTTAGACTTGTCTGCTAAAGCTCCAAAACTCTAGTTTTTAAAAAAGTCCTTTCGGTATTTATATGTAAGTGATTTAACCAGTGAGAATTGATGTCTTTATAACTTTTAGTCTTTGTACCAAAGAATAGGGTGTAGATTTCCATTTCTTCAGATCTTTTCTTTGTATTTTTTCATTTTTTAGTGGCGTTTTAAAATTTTCTTCTGGATTTTGCTTGTAGATATGATGTTGATTTCCACGTACTAAAATGTGTGCCTCTTTTTGAGTTTTAAGTTTTTTTTTTTTTTTAATTTTTTTTTTTTTTTCAACGTTTATTTATTTTGGGGACAGAGAGAGACAGAGCATGAGCGGGGGAGGGGCAGAGAGAGAGGGAGACACAGAATCGGAAACAGGCTCCAGGCTCTGAGCCATCAGCCCAGAGCCCGACGCGGGGCTCGAACTCATGGAGCGCGAGATCGTGACCTGGCTGAAGTCGGACGCTTAACCGACTGCGCCACCCAGGCGCCCCGAGTTTTAAGTTTTTTAAGGCATTTAATCATATCATTTGTAAATCATGATTTTTACCTTTTCCTTTGTAGTTAGTTAATGCTGTATATTTCTGTATTTTACCTAATTTCACTGGCTTGTATCACTAGAACACAATAAATTCATGGCAGTGATAGCGGATATTTTCTGGACTGTAATAGGATTGTTTTTAGTATTTTCCTATTAAATGAAAACATACTGAGATATGTTTGTTCAACTCTTCCTGTGTTCAGACAATTTTTTAGGAATTAAGACTAGCTATTAAATTGTAGTAATTGCCTTTTCATCTTGAAGACGATTATAATGTATGTTTTTTCTTCTTAAATTTATTAATGTGTTTGAAGAGAAAAGCAGTTGTCCAGCACCAGGGAAAGTTGCCGTGTGGGAATGCACATCTGGTTTTCCAGACCTTTCAGTTTGTCAGAGGGTCGAAAATCTGGATTTAATATTTTAGTAGCAGCGCGTGGGCCAAACAAAGCCCATGCAGGCCACGTGTGGAGACTGCTGCAAGGCCGCCAGTTTGTAATTTCTGTTCTAGTCCATTCCTGGAAATAATTAGAACCTGGTGACAGTTGAATGTTCTGTCATCTTAGATAGTTAAAGGTACAGCTTTCATTCTTGCCTGGATGAAAACCTGATGGGGAGGGTTCCCAAGTTTATTAGCTCATAGATACTCTAGTTCTGTCGCCTTTTTATACCTTGGCTTTTTTGATGTATCATAAATAAGACCTTTAGGTAATTACTGCACTTCTATGAATTAATTTTTACCTATTGGTTTTAAACAGCCTTAAGTTTCAGACTTCCTTAATGTAAACGGTGTCACCATAAAATAAATGCTCTTCCATTTTTGAAGCTGCTTCCCTTATTTTCTCCTCTTTTCCCTATGGTTTGCATGTGTTCCTGACTTGACCTAGTTTCTGTTGCATCACTGTTTTTAGAAAAATGTAAGTTTTTTTCTTTTACCTAACCTTATTTCCTATGTTACTCTTGCAAAGAGCATCGTCTTCAGGAAGATACATTTTTGCTCCTTGTAGATTCACTTGTACATAAGGAGAATTCCTTGCATTTACTAATAACAGAAGGAAACAAATTATTTTTTATCTAATAAAGCTATGTCTGTAAAGACACAGTTAAATAAACAGTTAAAATTTCCTGATGAATTTTGTTAACCTGGCCAAAATCTTTCTAATTTTAAGTGGGTTCTTGACCTCACTGTAAATACCTATTTAATTTCAGATAAATAAAGCTAATCAAAATTATAAAAGATAAAAAGTGGTTCTGCTGAATTTTGTTTTTAAAATTTTTATAATTTAGAAATCATTTTACTTGTATTTCAGTAAACTCGTGATTTTTCTTTGGATGGGAATAGATTTATTTATTTATTTATTTATTTATTTATTTATTTATTTATTTAAATGTTTATTTATTTCTGAGACAGAGACAGAGCATGAGCCGGGGAGGAGCAGAGAGAGAGGGAGACACAGAATCCAAAGCAGGCTCTAGGCTCCGAGCTGTCCGCACAGAGCCCGACGCGGGGCTCGAACTCACAGGCCTTGAGATCATGACCTGAGCCGAAGTCAGACGCTCAACCGACTGAGCCACCCAGGCGCCCCGATGGGAATAGTTTTAAACCTGATTGAAAGTTGAACGATAATATTTAAAGTTACAAAATAGTCTTTTATATTTGGTCGTGAGCTATTTCTTTGTCATAAGTATTTATGAATGCCTTTTCATAGGGCAAGAATTCATGGTCTCCCAATTACTTGTGTGGGGATTACTTGTTTGTTATTCATGGTATCAGATGGGCTCAGACAGTGCTTTCTCCGCCTTCGTCTCCTCATATCCCGAGTTAACTTTGGAGTCGTTTGGTCACATGTGCTTTTATTCACATGTACAGTGGCCTGAGTTTGTACGCTTGCCTTTGGTGTATGTATATTACCTGTCCAGTTAGCCCTCTTCCCTCCCTTGGGCCATGATTTGTGTTCTCATGTGACTGTGAAGATTTTCTGCAGGATTCACTCATAGTCTTCCGTCATTTCAGTGATGATGGAAATTTCACCTTTTTCCCTAACTGATCGTATATCTTCTGCTGTGGCAAAAAAAGTAGATAGCTCTTTCATAGGTGCACTGTTGTTTCGATCTAACCCCAGAGGGTCAAGTGCCTTAACAGTGGGTAGAAAACACAAGGGCCAGACAGGCCGAGCCGGACTGGTTGTGTTTTCTTTCGGCCCCAGGTTCGATCCGCGAGGAGAACGGTGTCCGGTGGCACGTGTGTCCCTACTGCACCAAGGAGTTCCGGAAGCCGAGTGACCTGGTGCGCCACATCCGCATTCACACCCACGAGAAGCCCTTCAAGTGTCCGCAGTGTTTCCGGGCCTTTGCCGTAAAGAGCACCCTGACCGCGCACATCAAGACCCACACGGGCATCAAGGCATTCAAGTGCCAGTACTGCATGAAGAGCTTCTCCACATCGGGGAGCCTCAAAGTGCACATCCGCCTGCACACAGGTGCCCGGGGCTCGGGACCTTCCCCTCCTATCCCCTCCGATTCACGGGGCCTGCGGGCAAGAGCCGAACACCCTTCCCAAGTCTCTGTGATCACCTTGGTAGGCTAGGCTGCAGGTATATGCTGGTCCACAGAGTGACGGGACTAGATGCCCACAGAGCCCACGGCTGAATGAGGGAAGCACTAAGCACTAGCACTCGGAATGAACACAGGAGGCAAAGGGCCAAGAGAGGGGTGGTTGGGGGCCACTGCATGTAGAGGTGGAGGAGGTGGGCCTTTGTAAGGAGACGCCTGGGTGGTGGTGGGGGGGCGTTTGTGCTGAGGCCTGGGGCAGGGACGCAAAGCCTGATGCCTCTTCACCCTTTCAGATGTTTTGTCGTCAGGATGAAGGCATGAAAACATTCATATTTAGGCTGTAATTTCGTTTAGGATCGTTTTGTTGTGATCTATTCACAGATCATAAAATGGACTCTTATTTTACGGTGAACTCAGAATTCACTTTATTCAGAAATTGTGCAACCCGCCCAACTGTCTATCTTCAACGTTTTTATCATCCCGGCCCCACCGAAGAAACCCCATATCCATTAGCAGGAACTTCTCCTGCCCCCCTGGGGTTCCGGGGCTGAGCTGATCATGTGGAGGAGTGTTTAAAAAAGCTGACATTTGTTGCTTTTGTTATGTGCCCTTCTTTGGAACCTCCGTTTTCCTTTACCGATAAAATTGTAAATGAAGGAATTTCCTTCAGGAAAGGGAATTGATAGTAGAGAATTGTGAAGAGGACATTATTACTGTCAGCAGCAGCAGCAGCATTGTTATTATTTACAATCACTGACAACTACCATTTACTGCTGTTTACTAAATGCCCGGAGCTGCTGAGTGCTAGTTAAACATGAGTGTCTACAATCCTGGCAGCCAGCCTGGAGGCAGACGTTGTTCCACGTTACAGATGATGATTTGAGAGAGAGCAGTCTTACTGCCCTGGAGTATTCCTAGGGACTGAATATTTGAGTATCTGAAGGTTTAAATGTTTTACAATGCGAGGATAGCACATTTTTTTTTACTTCCAGTGATCTTAAGACGTACCTTAACATCTATGGTACGCACTGTGTGCACACAGGGGAAAATAGCTGCATGAGATGCATGAAATTGTACGCGTGAAGCGAGAAACTCTTCAAGTCAATATTAAACTACTAGGATTTTATGTTGGCATTAATTGTCGAGATGTATGTTCTTGAAATAATTCTGCTGCGTACTTCTATTTTTATTAGGAGTCAGACCTTTTGCTTGTCCTCACTGTGACAAAAAGTTTCGGACCTCAGGCCACAGGAAGACTCACATTGCTTCTCACTTTAAACACACGGAGCTAAGGAAGATGAGGCACCAGCGTAAACCGGCGAAGGTTCGAGTCGGCAAGACGAACGTTCCGGTCCCTGACATTCCTTTGCAAGAGCCGATTCTCATAACTGACGTAGGTAAGATTCTCTTCCCTCTTGCACCTTGCAGAGAGTATATAAGTATTTTGTCTACACAGTGCTAGACCGATGGTTACAGGGAGACAGTTTTAGCATGCTGTTCATGAAGTGTTTGTGTAGCACTTTTGCTTTACGGCCCGGTATGTTCCACAGTCAAGCTGAAAATCCTAGCTCTGTCTCAGCTACTGCCCAAATTGTGTTCTTGGTTAAGAAAGAAAGGATGTGTCCAGCTGGAGATACTAGCACGTAAGTCCTCACTGAAGACAAATTTCTGTCTCAGGGGAACCGTCAGCGTGGACGAGGGTTCTTCATGTGAGACGCGCAGTCCGCTTTGTTACTTTCATCTTAAAATCCCTACGTGACAGGTCGCAGGTTTTATATGGGCTGCTTTCATCTTTGGACTTAAAAAGGAAAACTGTTAGCGTTTAAGGCTTTTTTTTTCCAGGCTCAATGTTATTAAGGTTAAACTATGATTTTATTATCTAGAAACACTGCTTATGAGAAAGTGCTAAACAAAATGAAAGAAACTGCATTAAATTCTGGGATAAAACTTATATTTTTATACAGTGTCTGTGTTTTATTAGGTCTTAAGCAAGATAATCCAGTCCACGAACAAAATTAACATCAAAGTATAGTTTAACATAAATAAAGGTCATATGGTATAAAGGGAGATATTTTAGATTAATATGAATTACAGTTTGCTAATAAGATGATCAATAATCATGAATTTTTTTTAAAGTTTATTTTTTTGAGAGAGAGAGAGAGAGAACGAACATGAGCAGGGGAGGGGCAGAGAGAGAACCCCAAGCAGGCTCTGCACTGTTAGTGTGGAGCCTGATGCAGGGCTCGAACTCACGAACTGTGAGATCATGAACTGAGTGGAAACCAAGAGTCAGACACTTAATGAACTGAGCCATCCAGGCACTCTTCAACAATCATGAATCTAAAGAAAAAAAAATCATGAATCTTTATTTAGGAACATAGCATCACATATATAAACCAAAAACAATTAGAAGAAAGGAGAAATATTCAAATTGTAAAGTATAGTGAAAATTCCTCAATTAGATCAATTTAACTAAACGGTGAAGCTGAAGCGGATTTGAAGAACACATATATATAGAAAGGGTTATTTAATAGCTTCATAGAATCTTTTACTCTATAATACTCTTTGAAACATGCACGGAATTGAAGTTGGTCAAATCCTAGGATAAGGAAGAATTTCAAATTTTCAAAAGTAGATACTGTACAGGACACAATCTTTGATTGTAACTCAATGAAAACATAACAGAACAAAGCTAAATGTGTTAGCTGTAGTTCAGATAGCTAACACATTTGAAAATTTAGATGAAATGGATCTTTTCTAGAATCATGTTCTTCTATCATGATTTACTCTAGAAGAAATGGAAAACCCCAAAACAGACAAAAGATTGAAGGTCGTCATCCTCCCCAGAGTATCATTCTCTGTTGATTTTATGTGTGTGTTGTACTGAGCTTCCTGGAAACTATAATTCTTAGGGTATTAATTGTTCAAACCCTAGAAACTGACAAAGCTCCCATGGAGGTTAGAATGTCTTGATGTTCTTGTCCACTTTTGGTAGCTCACAAAGCAAAACAACACGCTAATTTAATGTGTATCTGATCTTCACCATAATCTATAGGTTCTCAATGGTTTGTGTCATTCCTGAAATGAGGAAAGTCTCTGAAAGTCAGGACAGATTCAACATTTGTTGAGTGGCCCTAGAATTTTCCTTCATGCTTTCAAAGTTACCCTCAAATTACCAGTTTTTTTTTCGGGTTGCCATTAATAAAATTAAACATCTGTGGGTTTCTTGACTTTAACTTTCTAAACCTGTAGTTAAACTACAGTCCCGATACTCCAGACTTTTTCCCAGGTTAAAATGGGTACATTTTACTTGTTGGTTTCACAGATAGTTGGGAAACCAAACTTAAATCAAATTAGTGGAAGCAGAATTCTCCTTTGGTCCAGGCTGAGTGAGACACACGAGGGAAATGATTCATATAGAGAGGGTTTCGCATTATAGAAGGTAAAATATTGTAAATAATTATTTACAATGCTTAACGTCATTGTCATTTATATTTGTGTCTGTCTCTTCTTTCAGACTCTGAGCTCCTCAGGGGCTCTGTAGAAAAGATGTGACTTTAATAACCTTCCGGGGACAGATTTTGATAAAAGTGTGACAGAGAGGGTTTTAGCACAGATTAGTTACAGTTATTTGACTTCATTGAGAGACGAGCTGTTCTAGTTTAGCCAAGTTACTTAAAACACAGTATGTCACTTAGGCTAAGACTATCACTTCAGAAAGTTAGAATGCATTAAAACTACCATAGCAAGTAATTTAGTCTGCATATTAAGGAAGCACAGTTGGTGGTATGGTATTATATGGTCAGAAAAACTTTGAGAGCTGTATAGGAACTTGAAAATAGTCATTCAAAACTTCTCTACATTCTTCATTTGTACAGATATAAAAACTAAGCTCTAGAAAGAGTTATGATGTTGCTTTTCCATCATACAACTAGTTTGTACTCATGGTAGAACTAGAATTCTGGATCTTCTGGCTTGTAGACCAGGGTTGTGGTCAGTTAAGTTCCCTTCCTCTGCACATCCATTACCATTGCACTCCCAGGCACAAAAGTATGGGAGAGCACACCATGATTTTCAAGGAGTCATTGTATCTTGGTATCAAGCACCAGTAATTTTTACTGGACTTGAGTGTTGTGAACTTTATTGTGTGTCAGGGATTGTATTTCACTAGACATGCTCTCTTGTACTCTAAATGTTTTTTCTTCGAATTCAAAAACTAAATTTTAAATACAATAATGTGTAGACTAAGGAGGTATTGGAGTCATAAGGCAAGCATGATATTCAGAGGGAGCTCATTATTACCATCATAAAAAGCTGAGAGAGATCATTGCCACCAGACCTTCTTATAAGAAACGCCGAAGGGATTTCTTTGAGTGGAGGCAAAAGAACAGTAATTAACATCATAAAAACATAAAAAGATAGCATGAATCTCACTGGTAATGGTAAATATGTAGTCATAGTTAGATTCTGCATTACAACAATAGTGGTGCACACTTTACTTACAACTCTGGTTTAAAAGTTAAAAAAAAAGGTGGTAAAAATAACCATAACTATAGGCATTTGCAGTTTTGTAGTATAGAAAAAACATAAATTTTATCAGCAGTAACCTAAAATGTGAGGGGGAAGAGAAGTAAAAGTGTAAAATTTATGGATTCTATTGAAGTTATTATCTGTTTAAAACAGTATGTTATAAGTTTAAGATAGTCTGTGTAAGCCTCATAGTAACCACAAGGGAAAATCCTACAGTAATCCCACAAAAGAAGATGGTAAAGAAATTAAAACATACTGAGGTATCAAAACACAAAAAGCAGGATAAGAAAACAAGGAACATAGGATTCAGAAAACAATTAACCAAATGGCATTAGTAAGTCCTTACCTATCAATGATTACTTTAAATGTAAATGGATTAAATCCTCTAATCCAAGGACACAGAATGGCTAAAGGGAGAACAAAACAAGATTCAGTGATATGCTGCCCAGGAGAAGCTCAGGTTAGCTGTGAAGATAACACATAGAGAGTGAAGGGGGTAGAAAAAGACATTTCAAAAATAGTAACTGAAAAAAGCAGGAGTAGCTCCACTTGTATCAGACAAAATGGACTTTAAGGTAGAAATGGTAAAGAAAAAAAAGACAAAGGAGGTCATTATATAATGATAACGGGGTCAGTCCATCAAGAAGATACAACAATTGTAAATATTTATATGCCCAACATGGGAGCACCCAAGTATATAAAAGCAGAAACAGCTAATAGGAGAAATAAACAGTAATACAGTAATAGTTGAGGACTTCAGTACTCCACTCTCAACAATGAACAGATCATTCAGATGGAGAATCAATAAGGAAACAGCACATTTGAACAACACTACACACCAAATGGACCTAACAGGCAAATACAGAACATTCTAACCAACAACAGCAGAATACCCATTCTTCTCAAGCACACATCAGACATTTTCTAGGGTAGACCATACGTTAGGCCACAAAAAAAAGCCTTAGCAAATTCAAGAAGATTGAAATCATACCAGGTATCTTCTGTGATCACAGTGGTGTGAATCTAGAAATTAGTGAGGGAAACTGGAAAATACACAGACACATGGAAATACTCTCCTGAACAACCAGTGGATCAAAGAAGAAACTAAGGAGGAAATAAAAAGTCTCTCTTAAGACAAGTGAATATGGAAACACAATGTACCAGAATTAATAGGATGCAGCAAAAGGAGCTCTTAGAGGGAAATTCATAGCAGTAAACACCAAATTAAGAAGCAACAAAAATCCCAAATAAACAACACCTTAAGGATCCTACACCTTAAGGAACTAGAAAAAGAACAACAAACTGAGCCCAAAGTTAACAGAAGGGAAAGAGTAGTAAAGATTAGAGCAGAAGTAAATAGAGAACATAAAACAATAGAACATATTAATGAAACTAAGAGTTGGTTCTTTGAAAAGGTAAACAAAATTGAGAAAACCTTTTCTAGACTAACAAAGGTAGAATGAGAGCATCCAAATCAACAAAATTATAAATGGAAAGGAAAACATTACAACTGATACCACAGAAATACAAAGGATCCGAAGAGGCTACCATGAACAATTAAATGCCAACCAACTGGACAATCTAGAAGAAATAGAGTAATTCTTAGAAATCTACAACTTACCAAGACTGAATCAGGAAGAAATAGGAAGTCTGAATAGACCAATGACTAGTAAGGATGTTGAATTAATAATCAGAAGTCTCTCAATATAAAAAGCCCAGGACCAGATGGTTTCACTGGTGAATTTTACCGAACATTTAAAGAACAATTAATACCAACCCTTCTCAAACTGTTCCAAAAAATCAAAGAGGAAGGACATTCCCCAAACTCATTTTACAAGGCCAAAATTATCCTTACACCAAAAGCAGA